TTCATTTGGCCATTAATTGTAATAATCCAGTGAGATTTTTGTATGTCAGCAGCCAGTGCTCCACACAGAGATCTGATCTGATCATCATCCAGTCTGTCTGGAATGACACAAACTGAGACAGACTAGTTTTTGGTAGTAATAATTAATTGCTAGTGAGCTCTAATTGGACTGCACTATTGCCGTACATTTGGTTACTATACATCTAATGGCCATTTATGTGTCTGCAGACGTTACAGTGGTGTATCAGAATGGCTTGCCGGTGATCTCCGTACGTCTGCCGTCCCGACGAGAACGCTGCCAGTTCACCCTCAAACCCTTGAGCGACACGGTGGGTGTTCTCCTTCAGCAGCTGCAGGCGGAGGACAGGGGCATCGATAGAGTCACCATCTACTCTACAGGTAGAGCACAACACAAGATCGCCGAAATCTAAAGCCAAATCTAGAAGACAGTCAAGTTTTGGTTTAACCTTTTGCTGAAGCTTTCCCAGATGTTTATGGTGTTTACATGACAGTTGTGATTTTCTTCATGTCTTACTGACCCCAGCGGTAGTAGTATACAAATAACACAATGATAACAGAGTTTTCATTTTTTTGGTGAACTATCCCTTTAAGAATAGTCAGTGCACATTCAAACACATTCATTGTTCTCAGCTCTGGGGGCAAAATGAAATTCAAATTGAAGTTATTAGCAAATTCTTTTGTGGTTTAAGCCACAAGTCGCAGATGAGCGTGTGGCTTTCTCTGACATGTTTAATTGATCGTACATCTTCTAATCTAATTGAGGAACAAGAATCATTAGTACTCTGTGCAAACTGCATATCTGCTCTGTTTCAAGCTCAATTATTCCCGTGTGAGAGGCACTTGAGCTTTCTCTCGCCTGTCTTTATCTCTCTCTGTTTCACCTCAGATTGGAAAATGCTTCTTTTCCTGATGAGCGTACTTAACGCAGAGCAGGAAACCTTTGTGATAAGCATTTAGATTGGCTCTTGTATTACATAACCGTTTCAGTGAGAGGATTGCGTTCCCATAATTTCCCTCTGTGTCTCTCCTTCTGTCTCTATAGATGGAGCAAGAATAGCGTCCTCTACAGGGATTGACATTTTACTTATGGACAGCTTTAAGCTAGTCATTAATGACACAACATACGTGGTGCAGCCGCCTAGGAGAGGTGAGTGTGCCTGTTGCATTGTGGGTTATTATGTGCAAGACTTTGCAGAGGCCCAGCAGAGTTTTTGATATTTTTTTGGCGTCCTTTGCAGATCTGCTACCGCACGAGGAAGCAGAACGACTGAACGATGTCAAGCTCTTGGTGCAGCAGCTGTACACCACCCTGCGCATAGAAGATCATCAGCTCACCAAAGAGAGAGAGCTGATTGGACGACTGGAGGACCTCAACTCTCAGATCCAGCCCTTGGAGAAGGTGAGCTGTTTAGATTAATGTCACCAAAACACCTGACCAATTTAATCTCCTCAAACTTTTAATTAATATATTTATTTATTTATTTTTTGTCTATTTTGCACCAAAATACCATAGACATGTCTGGTGCAAATAGTTTTTACTTCAGAGAAATTTACATACCCTTGAATCTTAATGCTGTGTGTCATTTCCTGGATGATTCACGACTGTCTTACTGTTTTGTGATAGTTGTTCATGAGTCCCTTGTTGGTCCTGAGCAGTTCAACTGCCTGCTGTTCTTCAGAAAAATCCCCCAGCTCCTGCACATTCTTTGGTTTTCCAGCATCTTCTGCATATTTAAACCCTTTCCAAAAGTGACTGTATGATTTTGAGATCCATCTTTTCACATGGAGGACAATTGGGGGACTCATACATAACTATTATATAAGGTGAAAACATGTAATGATGCTCAAGAAGGCAACACAATGCATTAAGAGCTGGGGGGTGTAAACTTTTTGAATTGGATGATCATGGTAAATTGCACTTATTTTGTCTTCTGGGAAACATTTAAGTATTTATGTAGCTTCTTAAGTGCAGTACCAAATGAAAAAAATATATGATCTTTAAACAAAATAAGAAAAATTTACACATCATCACCCTGTTCAAAAGTTTACACCCCCCAGACTCTTAATGCATTGTGTTGCCTTCTTGAGCATCAGAAAATGTTTCCACCTTTTGTAATAGCTGTGTATGAGTCCCTCAGTTGCCCTCAGTGTGAAAATATGGATCTCAAAATCATACAGTCACTTTTGGAAAGGGTTCAAATATGCAGAAGATGCTGGAAAACCAAAGAATGTGCAGGAGCTGGGGGATTTTTCTGAAGAACAGCAGGCAGTTGAGCTGCTCAGGACCAACACAGGACTCATGAACAACTATCACAAAACAGTAAGACAGTCGTGAATCATCCAGGAAATGACACACAGCATTAAGATTCAAGGGTATGTAAATTTCTCTGAAGTAAAAACTATTTGCACCAGACATGTCTATGGTATTTTGGTGCAAAATAGACAAAAAATAAATAAATAAATATATTAATTAAAAGTTTGAGGAGATTAAATTGGTCAGGTGTTTTGGTGACATTAATCTAAACAGCTCACCTTCTCCAAGGGCTGGATCTGAGAGTTGAGGTCCTCCAGTCGTCCAATCAGCTCTCTCTCTTTGGTGAGCTGATGATCTTCTATGCGCAGGGTGGTGTACAGCTGCTGCACCAAGAGCTTGACATCGTTCAGTCGTTCTGCTTCCTCGTGCGGTAGCAGATCTGCAAAGGACGCCAAAAAAATATCAAAAACTCTGCTGGGCCTCTGCAAAGTCTTGCACATAATAACCCACAATGCAACAGGCACACTCACCTCTCCTAGGCGGCTGCACCACGTATGTTGTGTCATTAATGACTAGCTTAAAGCTGTCCATAAGTAAAATGTCAATCCCTGTAGAGGACGCTATTCTTGCTCCATCTATAGAGACAGAAGGAGAGACACAGAGGGAAATTATGGGAACGCAATCCTCTCACTGAAACGGTTATGTAATACAAGAGCCAATCTAAATGCTTATCACAAAGGTTTCCTGCTCTGCGTTAAGTACGCTCATCAGGAAAAGAAGCATTTTCCAATCTGAGGTGAAACAGAGAGAGATAAAGACAGGCGAGAGAAAGCTCAAGTGCCTCTCACACGGGAATAATTGAGCTTGAAACAGAGCAGATATGCAGTTTGCACAGAGTACAAATGATTCTTGTTCCTCAATTAGATTATAAGATGTACTATCAATTAAACAGCCACACGTTCATATGCAATTTGTGGATTAAACTACAAAAGAATTTGTTAATAACTTAAATTTGAATTTAATTTTGCCCCTAGAGCTGAGAACAATGAATGTGTTTACATGCGCAATGCTACGCTGAATATTCTTAAAGGGATAAGTCACCCAAAAAGTAAAGCTGTTATCATTGTATTATCTGTATACTACCATTCAAAAGTTTGTGGTCAGGTAAGATTTTTTAAAAATCAATTCATACTTTTATTGAGCAAAAGTACATTCAATTGATGCAACAGTAAAGATTTAGATATTTCTATTTCAAATAGATTTCTATTTCAAATAAAAGGTGTTCTTTTAAAAATGTCTATTTACCACACACACACACACACACACACACACACACACATAAAACGATTTCCACGAAAATATTAAGCAGCACAACGGTTATCAACAATGATGATAATAATAAATGTTTCTTGAGCAGCAAATCAGGATATTAGAATGATTTCTGAAGGATCATGTGACACTGAAATCTGGAGTAATGATGCTGAAAATTCAGCTTTGCATCACAGGAATAAAATACATTTTAAAATATATTAAAACAGAAAACAGTCACTTTAAATTGTAATACTATTTTGTAATAATAAATTATTGGTCAGCAGTTAAAAACAAAAAACAAAAAAGTTTTTAAATTTTACCAATCCCAAACTTTTTGAACAGAACTTCTGAATGTGTGTTTAACAGAAGTCAAGATATTAGACGCAATGTCCAAAACTGATTTGCCATCCATAGAAGTAGAAGGTGATTTATAACTGCCAAGCTCCAAGACGACAAAACAGCACCACAACCCGTCCATACTACATACTTACATGGCACTACTGCGCTTCATGAAGTCATATGGAACAGAAATCATTAAAGCACGAGTAGTATGGACTAACTTTTTGTCCTCTTTGAGCTTGGCAGAATGAATCACCATCCACTTTCATTCATCCATGGAGAAAAGACAGGTTAAGAATGTCATATGGGTGAATAAATGACAACAACTGTCGTGTAAACACCATAAATAGTGTTCATCTGTGAAAGCTTCAGCAAAAGGTTAGACAAAAACTTGACTGTTATCTATATTTCGATTGAGATTTCAGAGATCTTGATGTGGAGTGTGCGTTGTACTCTACCTGCAGAGTAGATGGCGACTCTATCGATGCCCCTGTCCTCCGCCTGCAGCTGCTGAAGGAGAACACCCACCGTGTCGCTCAAGGGTTTGAGGGTGAACTGGCAGCGTTCTCGTCGGGACGGCAGACGTACGGAGATCACCGGCAAGCCATTCTGATACGCCACTGTAACGTCTGCGGACACATGACCGAAGAAATGCCCATTAGAGGTGTAGGGACCAAATTACACAGGATTTTTATGTATAGTAACAATGCAGCCCAGTTAGAACTCACTAGCAATTAATTGAAATTCCTCAGACTCATCAAGTACATTTAAATGGCAAAAGAAAGATACTGTCTGCTGAGAGTGTGTACAGGAACGTGTAAGAGACTTATGTGGACAGTGAATGGGTAGATTGCCAGCAGGGGGCAGTGTTGGAATGACAGTATGCGGGAACCACAGGGTCCTGTTGAACGATGGGAGAATTCATCAGACTACTGCAGCATTAGAACTGTCCAGCCTGAGTTAGGAATGCTCTCTCTTGAGCGAACAACAACCCGGCCACTGTGGAGTCAGTGGACGTCGCTGTACATCACAGTTTAGTGTCAGTGCATATCCTGCTGTTTCGAGCTGTCCTGTAGATGGTACAGCTCTGATTGAGAACTGATCTTCGTAAGCTGTATACGCCAAAGGGCTTGCGGCATCCCATTTATATACTGCCTCATTACTTCAGTCGTTATGCCTAATGAGTCTGAGGAGGACCGTGAAAATAAACTGGGATTGGGAAAATAAAGTATGTGATATATGAACTGGATGTCTGTCAGCTGAACACACGTCGCATCAGCACATCAGGCTTTTCCAGTGTAGACAGCTTCAGTGATTATAATGGGAGCAAACTAGTTTTATGCGATCTCGCTTTGTTTTGCATCAGTTTCACCAGAATGAGTTCCTGGTTTGAGACCAGCAGGTTAAAGGAGCCAGTGCAGAGCCAATATTTTTGTCTCAGAACTGCCGTTCACTTAGAACTGAGCAGGACAGTCCCAGATAGGACAGCGGCTCTGGCACTGTGACAAAGAGTATTTGCCATATATATGATTATATATATGATATATGATTGACATAGAGTATCAGTGCCATATGCAGGGCTGTAGTTTTATTAGGGCCCTACGAGTTTTGCTATGCGGAAAACAGGGAGGGAATCCAGACACTCAACATGAGCTTCATCTCTAGAGCTGTTCTGAGAGTCACTTCATGGGCATTTCACCATTTCATTTGATAAAACTATCGATACACACAGACGCTCACAAAATGTCTTCTCTACAAGCTGCGAAAATAGCCTGGTTTAAGACATTATTGCAAATATATATATATATATATATATATATTACTATTGTACAGCAGTACAATATGCTTCTCAAATGAATGATTACAATAATAAAAAAGTTTTTTAAGGAACGTCCCAATATCACACAACTTTTCATCCATGTTTTAATTTAAACTGTAAACCTCTGTTGTACAACACTTTGTTTGCCAAAAATGTTCATTTTATGATAATTTGTAATAAATTATAAAACATATAATCCAGAAAAAAATAATTCATAGAATTTCTAAATTTCATAGAGCCCTATTAATTTCTAAATAAATAAGCATTTAGAAGTGTTAAAGTTAATGAATTCAATTATTTATACATTCTTTTGGATTATTAAAAAGTAATTAAACCATTAAAAACAGAATCCAGAAAAATGTAAATAGAATTTTTAAATAATTTTAATAGAATTTGGGACAAAAAAATGGAATTTGGGACAAAAATTTCATTCAGGATGAGTTTCAGGGAATTACATCAGGGAAAATATTAAATCAAACTAACTTTAATATTGGAAGTCTGATTAATTTTAGCAAATCGCTTCATTCAAAGGTTTTATTACAATGATCACCCAAGATCTTATCTGTTTTATTAGTTGTATTGAGAGTATGTGGTCTAGTAAGATGCAATTAATTGAGCTTAATATCAACCCTAATTGAGATCATGCTGCACCGATTTTTGATGTTCTGTAATTAAAAAGACATTGCCCCTTTAAATAGCTTAAATAAGGCAATTTTGTTTGCAAACTGCAGAGTAGCAAACAAAAATGGCTTGATTGTAGTTGAACTATTAGATTGGGAGTAGCTTGTAGTCTGGCAGGTTACAGTTATCTTCCTCAACACTGGTCAGGATGTATGTGCACGGAGTCCTCAGTGAGCCAACTAAAGTAACGTACATCACAGACAGCATTAAAAGCTTGAATCAGCTGCTCTGCTGCAGCATGTCATGATCCAACTGTTACAGAGGAAACGCTATCAAAATCCACGGCAAAGGAAATCACTCTCTCTCTCGACAGTGTGCATTCATTCTCCTGTCTGTGTGTTCACCTCTCCTGACCTGCTGGGTATAATTTCTCTTAATGCCAAGGACACCCTGCAGAGCAATGCTAGCATTGTACAGCATCCTTTATTCTTATTTGCAGTCGCTAGGAGGTTTCTTTGTTGGCAATCGAACACCTGCAATGGTAAATACAATGTTGCTGGTTTGTTTTTGTCATTTTCTGAGCGATCGAAAGCTATTGCGCCGAAGATAATAAGTAGAAATCCCCCACATCTGATTTTACAAGAAACGCATTGATCAGCATTACGGTCCCAGAAGGAAAAATGCCATTCAAAATGTCAGTAAGAAAATAGATTTACAGTGACAGCATGCAAACTTTCCAAGACTATCAGCAAATTATTGATTTACTTAATACTTGTGTTTAGTTGTCAAATTGTTAGTGAACTTCTTCACTCAACTATATTTCATACAATATATAAAATAGCCATCCTGTAGCTCAAACTATAGAGCGTGGCACTAACAATGCCAAGGCCATAGGTTCAATTCCAAGGGTAAGCAATCTATCACTTTAGATAAAAGCATCTGCCAAATGCATAAATATAATTGTTTATATAGAATATAATCCACTGTTACTAAGGAAATGGCAATTGATTTAGTCTCTACAGCTTTTTTAGGTAGTGCCGACTAACATTAGCTAGCCATCCACCTAATATTGGTTAATATGGGATATTGTAATGTTACAGCATAAATGACAGTAATAAACCCATACTCAAACATCTGATTGCACTTACAACTGACACAGTTAAGTATACCAATTACATTAAGGATGTTCAGTACATATTCTTGTATTTTGTCACTTTGTCTTTTCTCCCAGATTCTCAAATATTGACTTCAAGCCATTATTTGTAGTGTATACTGTATGTTTCTCGGTACTGGCCAGTTTGGTTCAAGGCTTTGAACTCTTTAATAAAGAATTTTCTGAAGAAAACCGAATGAAAAACATGTTTCCGAGACCCAAAGGAAGGTATTCATGGCAGAGCCCTAGTGATGGCTCAGTGATGCAAATACTCACACGCATTTGCATGTGTTCAAATAAACACAAATAAACAGAGCATGAACATGACCACTCACCTTCTGTCGCAGCGGGTGAACACAGTAGTCTTTGACCCTGCCATGAGGGGGAGCCCTTCCAGCCCTACAATGAAAGAAGAGAGAGAACAAGAGGGAGGTCATTTGTTGTTGAATCTTCTTAAAGGCAGGGTATGTGATTTTTCAAAAACACTTTAGAAAACTGATTCGGGCCGAATAGCAAAACAAACGTGTAGCCAATCAGCAATAAGGGGCGTGTCTACTCGTGATGTGGAGGAGAGAGCTTTCAGTGCATGGGACGGACATTAGCCGAGCCGAGCGACAGAAAGATAGAGATGGCGGATAAAAAAACAAAAGAGGAAAACGTCTGCGGAACGACAAGGCAAGAAGTAGGACCCGTGTAAAATATTGGATCAGCTTTCCAGTGCTGGAGAGAACTCAAGGAGCGGAGGCCTACGATCGGACGCCGAGGTTGCTTTGTTTCTTCTCAATAGGTGAGTAACACAGTGTCTACAACAGCTAAAGTCTGCCTACACCGGACGCGATCAAACGACCGTTGAAAACCATTTGAAATTTGTGTCAGCACGTCATAAATAGAACCCGGCAGCAGTTTTCTGTCGGGGATTTGTTGCGCCGCGCCGCTCACGTCCGTAGACACGGTGTAACATTGGTTTTGCTTTGTTTCACAGAACTAATCGTTCCCTGGGTTGCGTATGTATATGTGGGGCGGAGCTATCAAAATAGGGGCAAGACCCTTTTGGGGTAGGGCCGTGTTTGTTTTGGTGATTTCAAATATCAACATTGGCTACCAGAAATCACTTACTCTGCCTTTAAGCAGTTCAGCTACACAAACATATTCTTACTAAACTGCTTGCGCAACTGAGTCGGTTTAAATGGTTGTAGACATTCTCCATTTATCCAGGCTTGTCTGACTGTAGAACGTGAGATATGATGGCACTGACATCACAGATGGGCCTTTTTTCATTTTGAGTAGTTGCTGTAAGCGTTACAGTGCTCATGTGATCTACAACAATCCTTTAGGGGGTAAATGGAAATGTTTTGTCTTCACAATATGATGGGGGTTGGCACTGAGCAACACACACTGGTATTGAACAAATACACAAAGGCAGGAATCACCGAATCATGGAAAATGTGAGATATTAACTAACTATTTTGTCTTCATATATTTATGGCACAGGTGCCATGAAGAACAAAGGTGACTGAGGTACTACTAATGAATGAAATGGCAACAAAATTCGAAACTTATGGGACTAGTTCACCCAAAAATGGAAACTCTGTCATTGTTTACTCTCCTTCATGTCATTCCAAACCTGACTTTCTTCTTCTGCAGAAAACAAATGGTAAATATGAAGAAAACTGAAGAATATCCAGGTCACTCTTTCAATATAATGAACAAAAAAGACAAAAAAGAACCATAAAAGCTGACATTGTGCATTATAAATCCAAGTCTTCTGACATCATATGAAAGCATTGTGTGAGGAACAGTCATTATTCACATTTTGACATCGACCTTTACTCGTATTGCCATGTTGAGGAGAGTTTATGGGAGATGTCAGAATCATGAAAAAATTGACATTTAAGTCAGATTTTTTTTCACAAATTGGATTTATCCGGTTCCCTAATCCTAATCCTAAATTTGATTACACTAACAAAAGAGTGATCAGGATATTCTTCAAAAATTATTTTTCCATTTGTGTTCCACTAAAGGAAGTCATAGGAGTTTCAAGCGGCATGAATGCGAATAAATGATACCAGAATTTATTATTACTTTGTCAAAAATTTCACCAAAATTTTGCTAATGTGACTGCACCTTAAAGCATATGAACTTTGAAAACACTGTTTGCATTTGAGGCAACAACAATATAAAGTTGGGCGTTTCTGAATTGAGAGGCAGCCAGAAGGGAACCACATGTTTTAAATCCAGGGAAAATACATCACATTTTCCACTGTGCCTCTGGAGAGGACAATCACTGAAAAGATTGAGACAGGCATAGAGAGAAAACGCGCGCGCGCGAGAGAGAGAGGGTTGTGGCCAAACTGAATGGGGATTCTATATTGAGATCATGGGAAATGAGACCTTTGTCTTACACCACTTTACGAGCACACACACAGAGAGAGAGAGTTTGCAGAGTTATCAACAGCAGCAGAAGTGTGTTTGGCTGTAGAATGTCCAGAGATTTGCAGTGTGGTCATTTTTGTGCACCATGTGTCCAACTAGCGTTGAGGTGAACAGGTCTGATCCAGAGTCTGCTGTCAGCGTGTTTCACAGGCCGCTCCATGTCTTCCTGAAATAGCGCTTTCAATGTTTCCACCCACACATCACGCATCTACACACTGACTCTCCACCCACACACGCTGCCCCACTAACCTGACAGCACTCCAAAATACTCTACAGCATTTATACGCACAGCAGATCTACTCGCATTGTGTCATTTATGGTGCAGCAGTCAAAGCTCAGGGCTTGTAATAGGACGGTTGCTGGTTCAAATAAGGAACCAGTAAAGAACAAGTCATGAAGTATCACCACTACACCCTTAAGCACTTGGTTTTTCCAGGTGGACTGTGCCTGTAGTAAATTTGTTTTGGCTAAAAGCAACTGTTTACATCTCTCAGTGAAGTTCTCCTTCCACTCCTACTGTAAGCAAATGACTCACTCTACCGTAACACCATGACCTACATGCTTACATGTAACACACAAGGGGCCAGTCGTCAGTTGTACCAGCTGTTCGTAAGTTACAACTTAGCCTAGTGTTGATGTAAAGTTGAACTAAGTTACAACTTACTAAATATTTTTGTTGCACCATTTAACTTATCTGAAACGTAACTCTACAGTACGAATTACTTTATTAGCACGTCTTCGACATGAAACAGTGCATCTCTACGGGAATCGGACCCGTTTTGTGCATGTCAAATAAAATCAATCATAATATGTGTCATTTCTTGTGTTTTTGTATCATTTGGTATTTATTTATTGATCTTTATTCATTTCAAATACAGTTTCCAAATGTTATTTACATAGAAAAATACCTATTATGTTATTCATGGTTAAGCAGTGTAGTATTTCAATGAAAATGTAAATATTTTACCGTTAATTGCATGAGACAAAAGAAGTCAGAATCAAGTATAAACTGAAATTCGCAACATTTCAAAACAGGTTCTTCTCATGCATTTGAAGGCTGCTATTGGATCACTGAAGGTAAACTTTTGCATTATCTGACTACGCATTACTTTTCAGAGAACTGATGACCTACTAGTTACGCTCTGGCATAAAAACAAATGGTCACACTTTATTTTAAGGTCCAATTCTCGCTATTAACAAACCATTAACTTCGACTTTTGCCTCAATAAACTCCTAATTTTCTGCTTATTAATAGTTAGTTAGGTAGTTATTACGTTTAGATATTGGTTAGGATTAGGGATGTAGAATATGGTTATGTAGAATAAATGCTTTCTAAGTACTAATAAACAGCCAATATGTTAATAATACACAACTAGTTAATAGTGAGAATTGGTCATATACTGAAGTGTTAATGAACAAATGGTGCAACAAAATAAAGTATAGAGTTAGTTACAAACTAGCCAGTAGTTACTAGTTAGCCTCTTTCACTTAAGTAAGAACTTACGGACAGCTGGTGCATCCCTACTCAGGTGAACAGATAATAATTGCACTGTATGCCAGCTGTTGGTTGGTGAATCTACATACATGCACACTATATTCAAACATCTCTGAAGTATGTAGGTCTTCCTGCTGAAAAATCCAAAAATATGTCTTCATAGTAGCTGGTAGAAGGTTTCAAGCTAGTCAGAACTGGTTCAAGCTGGTTTAGGAGGATGATCAGCTGGACTAACAGATGTTAGTTGCTAGTTAATCACTGCAAACCACAGCTTGAAGTGGTTAAACAGTTCGACCAACTTGACCAAACCACCAAAAAATGACATTATTTGCTCACTGTTCTGAACTGGCAAGACTTTCTTTTTCTTCTGTGGAACACAAAAGATGAATTTCTTGAAGAACACCCTGGCCACTCACAATTGAACGTGAATGGGAACTGAGGCTATGAAGCTCCAAAATGATTTTAAAAAGCATCATTAAAGTCTGTAGTATACAACACCATATCCCAAATCTAAAGCCATGAGATACTGTAGCTTTGTCTGCTCACAGACTATAATTTTAAGTCATTACTTCCTGAAAGTGGCCACCTAAGCTCTCCCTGGCACAGTCACGGGTTTATGAGAGAAGTGGAGATTTAGTAAACACATCACATTAAGAGCTTTTCAATGAACTGATGTTTGATCCAGTTCACAAAATCTGTCTGGCATGATGCTTTCAGACAGATCTGATTCTTGAGTTCTGACAAGATTAGCGAGTAACAACCTTTACAGTTTTGAATCTCTTCTTTGTGGCTTCAGAAGACTTATATATAGCAAACAAGTCACTTAAACAACATTTCATAGAGTTTAAGGGTCTGATTTGAATACTGAAATCTACAGTCCCTATTCATTATAAGTGCTTATACTATGGGGCTGTTGAATGCTTGAATCTGATGGTTTATGAACGTTCTAAGGTGTGCAGTTATTTTATTTGTAAGGTCCTTACGACAGCAAAAGAACCAAAACCCACAAAGACACTGACCAAGCCAATAATACGATAAAATCATCAAAATCATCAGTATATTTGGAAAGTCAATCAAATTGAAAGGGTCTAGACATTAAAAAATCTGATCAACAAGAAAAGATTAAGCTTGTAAACACTTGAATCAGACGGATTTTCTCAATCGGAAAAAAAAAAAAAGCTTTCAGACATGCCCAGTGCCACGACGTGAATGTTCATATACATTTTTATGTCTTAATGTATATTTATGCATCATGGGTTACGAACTGGTCAGTGGAGGAGACTGAAGTCATCAATTATTCCTTGCATGAAAAACAGTGACCTGAACAATATGTTTGGAACAACATGAGGGTGAGTGCATTTTTGGGTTAACTAAACCTTTCAAGGTAACCGATTACTAATCAACATATTAAATATTGCCACCATGGTCAGAAAAGCAATTTTTAGCGTTCTCGACAAGGTTTTTTAATCTGTCAGAATTTAATCTGGCCAATTTACTAAAAACAAATATTATGTATGCTTTACATTGCGTGACCAAAACAAAAAACTAATTAAATTGATGGATTCACATCCACTACAGTGACACTACAGTGCAGGCACTGGGCCACTGTGCAACTAATACATGTTAATACAGGAACTGGAAGTCATAGGTCCAGTGTTTGATTGCCACATGTCAATAAAACACCACACATACAATGCCAGTGCCAATCAGCGTTCGTTGACACACAAGATCTGACATGGCAAATGACAGTACTGACAGACAGCACAGAGGTGTGAAGCAGTTTAATGAGAGAATGTGCCGAGCCTGAGGGGAAAACGAGACTGGAGGTCACTGCATTCTCTGACAGCCGTTTAAGTGCAGATCTCAGACGAGGACTGCCATTAATTAGTAATGAAGAGATAACGAACCAATCCTTCCACAGAGGGTGATGTCTGCTTTCATTATTACGACTGAAAATGTGGAAAGGTGTCAGGGGCATTAGACAAGAACAACAGTCTTTCGCTTTACCCAAACAAACATCAAGTGAATTCTCAGATTCACAAAAAAAACAAAAAAAAAACAGATAGAATTCTGCACATAAAAATGGCAAGAGCCAGCTGAAATCACCTGATCCAATCTATGCAGTTTCTGGAAGTCAAGGTGAACAGGCTTTTAGCAGCCTGTCAGGAAACAATGTTCCTACAATGAGAGCTTCTGGAGAAGAGCTAGCAGCTAGCTTTGCCCTAGTATACAAGGTGAAGCTATTTTTAAATCTCATTTGCCATTCATATAATCCATTATCATCAAGTAAAAAGCAATAACATATTTTCCTTACACATTTAAATCATTATTACCATATTTGTTTTATGCTGTCCTTGTGGCAGAGTAATTATGCATTTAAGCACTGAGTAACATTGACTAACTACATGTACTTAGTTTCTATATGGTTGAGGATGAGAGTTTGGTTTAGGGTTATCTGCATGTAATTATGCAGAATTTATCATTATTACTAAAGCAAGTACATGTAACCTGTGTAACAAGGACACCGTAAAATAAAGCGTTATCATTTTGACATATATTTTTCAAGGTAAAAAACAAAAAATATCATGAATGATTAACTATTTACTTTTTATATTTTTACGTACAATATATACACACATAATGTGTTTATATGCATAACATAAATGTTTATATGTTGTTTTTTTGGACACTGTGACATTTTAGTTTTTTTGTTTTTTTTTCATTTTCCTGCATGTATCTACATATTGGTTGCATCATATGACTTTGATTAAGGTGGTATATACAACACTTGTCCTTGTGGCAGAGTAATTATGCATTTAAGCACTGAGTAACATTGACTAACTACATGTACTTAGTTTCTATATAGTTGAGGATGAGAGTTTGGTTTAGGGTTATTTGCATGTAATTATGCAGAATTTATCATTATTACTTTAGCAAGTACATGTAACCTGTGTAACAAGGACACCGTAAAATAAAGCGTTATCATTTTGACATATTTTTCAAGGTAAAAAACAAAAAATATCATGAATAATTAACTATTTACTTTTTATATTTTTACGTACAATATATACACACATAATGTGTTTATATGCATAACATAAATGTTTATATGTTGTTTTTTTGGACACTGTGACATTTTAGTTTTTTTGTTTTTTTTTCATTTTCCTGCATGTATCTACATATTGGTTGCATCATATGACTTTGATTAAGGTGGTATATACAACACTGGCTATTACAACATACAGCAGTTGAGCAGAGTTCAGCTTTGTGCAAATGAGGAGCGATGCAATGTGGCGCCTACCAACTGGAGTGTCTGAGATCTGCCTGCTCAAAGAGTTGGATACTGCAGTCGAGCAGAAACGCTTACTAGAAACTAGGGATGCACCGATACCGATACTGGTATCGGTATCGGGCCCGATACTGGCCTCCTGTACTCGTACTCGTACTCGTTAAAATGCCCCGATACCAAGTCTAAATAGATTTTGGTTTGACTGTATCTATTTGATAAATGAAGTTAACCAACTAACATTATACATACCCTTTTGGTTTCTGTACCCAATATTTAAAAAATTTACAAATGTAATAAAAATATAGGTATCGGCATCGGTATCGGCAAGTACCAAAAATAAAAGTATCGGTATCGGGCGAGTACTGGAAAAAGTGGTATCGGTGCATCCCTACTAGAAACCATCAGCGGTGCAAGCTGATGACCTCTAGATATTTACTGAACAGATATAAAGAGACTGAGAAGAACCAATTTATCACTTGTGGTCTACATGGGCTTGTGCTGTTGTTTGGTTTATTTCTGTATAGCACTAGTTCAGTAGCTGTTTCTGGTGAGGAGCTGCATATCAGAGCTGCTAAAGTAAGAACTGTTAATGGGTTGTTGCAGAGCACTGCTGGAGTTTTAGTTGACACAGTTTGGCTTTGGTTTGTTAATTCAGGAGGCAGGCCAGGCTGTGAAGCAATCATCGACTGACTATTTCACAAACAGTTTGTACTGAGACAGAAGCATCAGCCCTTGTGTAAAGACCTGTGAATCCATCTACACAAATCCACTGAGTAAGGACACCAGCAAGGCACAAAACACAACATTAAAGTTCGCTCTCTTTTGCCTTATATCTATCTATTCTCTTATTTCCCCTGTCGTGTCATATCATGTTTCTTCAATACAGGACTCAACAGTAACAATTTATTTTTTTCTACTCAGTGGCATCAATAGTTCAGCTCTCGACTTGCCTTGCTCATATTTTCACTAACTCCAAAACATGAATTTAAATTGATAATTTTATATTAAGATTTAGAATTTTAAGCCCCTATTTTTTCAATTAAGGTTTATTTCAAAATGATTAAAAATAATAATATTATGCATTTTTCACACATATAAATGTATCAATCAAATGTTAAGTTGTCTTTATAAAGAAAACATGCAATAATAGTTGGCGTTTAAACGGTTATTATAATTACACAAACTACAAGGCAGCATTAAATTCATAAACATAAAATGATGGCATGGCAAAACATTAAAGATTTTTAACTAATTCTTACTTAAACTACTAAGACTATAATAACATTATGTGAACAGCAAATCAATTTTAATCAAAGCCTAATATTACAGCTGACTGGTCTGCAAGAAGAATTTAAAGCCAAATCTTTAAGTTTGCAAGGAATGAAAATGTATGTAGATTATCAAGAGAAAAAGCAATGACCCAATCATCATCTGATAAAGCGTAACCTAATCCATAAACTGGCCTGAAACTCTCTGACACTGGCCTCAGGCTATCCTTATTCTTGAGCCCTGCAGTACATCCCACGTTACATTTACAGAATAAAGTGCATCTCTTATCACCTTCACTCTTCTCTGTGCTGCTCTGTGCTTTCCTTCTTAGTAGGACTGAGCCAGTCGGCTGTCAACAACGGTGACTTCATTGCTGCCTACACCAGTCTGTCAGACTCACTGTATTGGCTCTAACTGAGACTGGGATCCATGCAGATAACACTGCAGCCCTGTCCACTTAAACACT